GAGAGAGAGAGAGAGAGCGCGAGCGCGAGCGCGAGCGGGCCAGATTTCTTATGAGTAATAGTTTCTTTTCCCTTCCACCTCCTTGTTCTTCGGTTAGCTGTCTGCCTGTTTTTAAACTTGCTGTTTTTAGGAGGGTAAAACACACACACCCATCCTGAAAGACGTGAACAGCACTTTGAAATCTTTTTCAGCCTTCTGACAGCCAAGCGGGTTTCACTTTATTTCTTTATTTCTGGATTGTTTCACCCACCGGACACAACCTTTGTCCCCAAACACCACATTCACTTTACACAAACTTGTTGACCTGACACCCAACTCAGCTTTTCTTGAACCTTCGTCTGAGCAAATAAACATTCCTTGTGATCTGCGGATATCCCGAGCGGCGTCAGGAAGGGCTCGCAAGGACCCTGCTGGCTCAGCTAGCCCACCAACTTGCGACTGATTTGGTTTCCTCTTTCTCCTCTGATTTTAAGAAGTGAGGCAAAAAACCAATTCCTGTTCAGTTTTTGAGACAATGCAAAGGGCTCTAGACACCGTCCGAGGAAGCTGATTTCATGGAAGTCACCAAAAAAGTGGGCCAGGACACCAGGAAGGGGGCTAGGGATCCCACCGTGGAGGTGGGCTCCAGGGAGCAGGCACTTCGGCGGCTGGGATGGCAGACGGAGAGGTAAGCGCCCCGGGGTGGACACACTTGGGAGATCAGCCTGGGGGAGTGTGACACCACGTGCTACAGCAGGGGCGGGGACAACACCCTCCCTCCCCTTCTTATCTCTAAAGGGTGCAGGGCCGGATCTCAGTGTTTCCCAGAGAAAGAGGAGAGATACAGAGAGAGAGAGAGAGAGAGAGGAGAGAGAGAGAGAGAGAGAGAGAGAGAGAGAGAAAGAGAGAGAGAGAGAGAGAGAGAGAGAGAGAGAGAGAGAGAGAGAGAAATATATTTTGAATACATTTGAACCTTAGGGACCGACATTGACAGTAGAGGTGAGAGGCTAGCAACTCCTCCGTATCAACTTGCTAAGCTCACAGCCAGTTGCGCAGAGAGGGTCCAGCGTAGACGCGGGAATCTGGGGACTCGGAGGGAGTGTTTCTCTGCAGCTCCTTGGGGGGTGGGGGGGTGGGGAGGGGTTCCAGTCCCGACCCTTCCACGTTTCTGCGGCGGGAAAATAAAGCCTCAAGACAGGAAGAAGAGTTGGGGTTTCACAGTCAGAGAGGATTTAGTTCCCCGAAGTGTGGCGTGGTTGGGGCTTTATATCCGGGACAAGCGAGTGTCACCACACTGTAAGCAAATCCTGGGGCCTCAGCAAACCGGGATCCGGGCAGCTGGCCCCACGCCCGGCTCGGAGTTCGAGACTCTGGCCACTCAGAGCTCTGGGGCCCGCAGGCTGCTGACCCAGTGGCCTTTATCTCTGTCCCCCTTTGTTCCTTTTATCTCAGGCTCCGCAGGAGGCCCCGAGAGGCCACACTGCCTATCGCCCTCCTGGCTGTGCTACCTCTTCAATGCCCCGAAGGTCTGAGGCTGCAGAGGAGCCGGGGAACGGAGCGTCTCGCTAACTGGGCCAGGCTGTGACTCGGGACCTGTGGATCCTCCACCCCCACCCTAAGGGCACCGACACCGGGACACCGGCGCGGGTCCCTGCATCCACTTGCTCCAGAGCTGCGCGCTCCACGATGGCTCCGGGCCGGGCAGTGGCCGGGCTGCTGCTGCTGGCGGCCACCAGCCTGGGACGCCCCTCGGAGGGGCCGCAGCTAGCCTTCAGTGAGGATGTGCTGAGCGTGTTCGGCGCCAACCGGAGCCTGTCGGCCGCGCAGCTGGGGCGCCTGCTGGAACGTCTGGGGGCTGCATCCCAGCAGGGAGCTCTGGACCTGGGCCAGCTGCACTTCAACCAGGTAAGGGTGGCCCCGTGGTCTGCAGTTTCCGCAGGTTATTCCCATCCCCAGAGCAATAGCACCAGAGAAAGGATTTCGTGAAGTTTTTCCAAGTTTGAGGCGGTCATTTGATCCTCAGCGGTTGGTTCAGCAGGCATTAAGGGTCTGGAGTTAGGCATCTGGCAAGCCAAACTGATAAGCTTGAGCTACCAGAGAGCTTGTTGAAAAAACTGATAGGTCTATGAAGTAGTTGAGGGCGGAAAGTCACCCAAGATATGAGCTTTAGATAGGAATGGTACATTTAAATCTTCAGGAAAGAGCCATTTACTTAACTTACACATTCAGCGGAAGGAAGGAACCTGTCACACGCGGTCTTTATCAGCTTTAGGGTAAGTGACCACTCCCATTTAAAAAACGCTCTTGTGTGTGTGTGTGTGTGTGTGTGTCTGTGTGTGTGTGTGTGTGTGTGTGTGTGTGTATTGCATAAGGCCGGCAGGGCTGAAACAGCACATCTTACAGATGGGGAAATTGTGGACACCTTAAGACTCAGGTGACCGCGTGATTACTGATTCAGTTGGTGGCAGGCTGGGGTTGGAGCTAATTTCTAGTCATGTCATGTGTTTGTCTCTAAAATTCATTCAAAATAACAAAACGTACGTTTCTCAGTACATGCGTGTCTAGTCATTTACTAATGCCTCAGATTTAAGGGCAAGCTTGAACTTTATAGAGTAATTAAAAATCACACTTGTCTCAGGGCTTGGGCTATGGTTTGGCGATGGAGACCTCGAGTTCTAATCCCCAGCCCAGCAAGCCATTAGAAGGGGGCAATTAAATCAATGCTTCATTTTGCTGGTCCTTACTTACCGACTCACGTTAAATAGCAGATGGAGCAGTTCATATCTAGTTTATCATTTTGGGGCAGTGGGGGTTTACTAGAAAAGTTTCTGTTCCTAAGATGTTTGGGAACTTCTGTATTCTACAACTCTGCTTGTGGAAACGTGGTGTTTTCCAGCGAGTCTGATCTTTGATTACAATGAAGGAAGCTTTACTCAGATAAATTCCTCAACATCCATTAGCATTACAGTTAGGTTCCTTCCTTCCTTCCTGGGGATTAAATTAGACATATTTTGTCTAGCATGCAAGTCAAGCACTGTACCACTAATCTACAGACCCCAGCCTCATGGCTTTGCTTCGGTTACTACTATCTTTCACTTGTTAAAATGGACACAATTCAAGATGCAGAGTTTTTCTGATGTCGTGATGTATGATCTTCCTTTGGCCTAGAAGGATTTTGTGCTGCCCCATGCCGAGTTTTAAAACGCAAACTGTCTTAAGTTTCATTTCTTGCTTGTTTTTATATTTGATTTAATGTTTGAGAAATTACATATTGCAAATACTGAAATGTCCACATATTTTATTTATGTATTTTGAAATAAAGCACATTGTAGGTCTTTTCTGGACTAGCTGTATTGTCTTCTTCTTCTTCTTCTTCTTCTTCTTCTTCTTCTTCTTCTTCTTC